AAATATTATATATTTCAATAAACAAACCACCAAAGCATGTTAAACATTGAAGTTGGTAAGATAAAATGATATTTTAAAAAAATGAATCATAATACTGCCATATCCATGAAGGATATGTTAAATCATTTTTTTATCATCATATTAACAATATGAATGAATTTGGGTAGTGGATATTAAAATCACCACATACCTCAGTTAATATTTTTCAGTAACAATATATGCTTAAAATTTCATTTGATGCCAAATATATGGGTTACAATATGACTATTTTTTTAAAAGCTCATAGACAATACACCAATTTCAACAAGTTCATTACATGCAAGCTGCAATCATTAAATATCTTATTCCTTCAATTAATATAATTTTAAATTCATCAATTTTTCATTCATAAATTTGATATACAATCAATTAATCAAGGAATCAAGATGCACCATTCCAATGTTAATGTAATAAATGGTAATTTTACCTGGGATTAAACATAGTAAAAGGTTGTGTTGAATGTCTATTAATCATTGGTACCGGTACTGTTAAAAAATCTTTTGTTGGTGTTGATGTATTTTCATCACGCAAACTCTAGAAAACAAATATTAAAGAACTTTAATTGAAATGATATAAATAAGTGTATGGGTTAAAATGTACTCCAAAGTTGAATGTAGAATTCATAGAAAAATGAGTTATCCCCCTTTATTCTCCAAAATATTTGAATTTTTTTTTTTTATTTGACTTGGCATAAATGATTTAAGTACTTCATATTCAATATGTACAAAATTTACAACAAGTGGTTGCCTCACAAGATACGCCCACTTTCCTGATACATTTTCAGTATATCATTGGCGGTCACCAATTTGTGTCAAATCATACCAAAGTCTAATTTGTGCAAGATATTGTTGATTTAATCAAAAACACATTATATAATATAATTCTGACATATGCTGTCACCTCTATCACATTCACAAGCCAACAAGTCAAGGGCAATAACTCAAATTCCATTGATCAAAAAATTGTTAAATTCAACCTTGTCTATGATCTTATCATAAATGATCGCACCAAATTTCATTTAAATCAGATAAAAACTGTAGTCTCTATTGTGTTCACAAACAAATTTTGACACGTTTTTTCCTTAGTCAAGGGTAATAACTAAAAAACCGTTGATCGAAAGATAGCCAAATTCCAACTTGTCCAAGTTCTCATTATTATAAATGATCACACAAATCATCATTCAAATCGGATGAAAACTGTAGTCGCTATTTTGTACACAAATAAATTTTGACACTTTTTCCTAGGTCAAGGGAATAACTCAAATATTATTCATCAAACGATCATACAATTTAAACTTGTTCAAGATCTCATCAATATAAATAATCACACCAAATTTCATTTAAATCAGAAAAAACTATTGTGTTCACAAGTAAATTGTGGACAGACTGACTGGGGCAACGACAAAATATATAATAAAAGAGATACCATCTGAGACAGAGAGAATCTCCAAAGATTAAAATATGAATCCACAAGCCTAATTAAATAATATATTGGTATATGGCAAGTAAGGGATAGCTAAGCCTTGTACCTAAAGATAATTGCCTGAAGCCCAAAGAAACAATGAAAAGTGTCATGACAGCCTTAAACCAAAAGGCCTTTAATTTGACAACAATGGAGGTAATGGTAGTAATTAAATGTAGTTCGTTCTAAAGTAGTCTTAAAATTTCTCATTCTTACTAGTGCTCTACTCAAAATGATTGGAATTAAGAAGCTACTTCTATTTAAAAAGTTTGAAGGAACCTGAAATGTGACATTTATGGCAATTGAAATTGAACTGCAAAATTATTTATTTTCATCCACACAATTTATACACCATCAAATCCTGAATAAATCATTCATAAAGTTCCTTTACTTAAAACAAGCCTAAAACTGTCAAAATTTTTTATCAGAGGTTGAAAAATCAGACTAATTTCAAAAGGTGATTTGTGTATTGTGATTATATTATTAATGAATCAAGTTTACATGAGAAAAAACATATTAAAAAATTAAAGTCCATTCTATGTAAAATAGCATGCAATTCTAAAACAATTCTAAAACACAAAAACTCACTCTTTTAGTTTGTTTCTGAAGGAAAAAAAAATGGTGCAAATAATAAATAATACATGCATCTACAAAGCATTAGGAAAAATAATTACCAGTGTACAGAGCAAAAATAATGCCTTTTGTGGAGTGCATAGAAGAATGGCACATTGATTTGCAGACTCACTCATCAAACAAGCCAAAAAAATAAGATCTAAATTTTGTTTTTAAAGGACAACAAAAAAAATGTTAAAACATGCAAAATAAAACAAATCTGAAAATTTGAATATTTTAACTTACATTTCGATGTTCCCGAAGTTTGGCTGCTTCTGCTGGATTATTAAATCTAAATGTAGTGTTGGTGCCTAATATTAATACATCACCTACAAAGATATTAAAGTTTCAAATGATGCCGTAATTTCTGTCATTTTCCGCTGATTGGATGCTGACCATCTTGCAGATGATAAAACAATCGGCAATAAATAACAAACTGGTTTAATATTATAAATCCTGTTGGCAATGTTTTATAATTTAAGATTCAAAGAATTACTTACCTTGGCTTAATGGTGAAGGTTGAGATATTTCTATATTATTTATCTTACATAAACATCCAGGATTTGGATAAATAATAACATCACCATTATCATTCTCAATAAAACAATGTTCTTTTTCTATACCATCTCCACTTAATTCTATATAAAAATAATATATATACAGGTAAAAATAATACTTCTATTAAAAGGTCATTGGAACTAACATAGAAAGTTCATAAAAGAAAGTTGGTAAAATCAAAAATTTTTGTTTCAAACTAAACGTAATTTCAATGAAGAGTAAGGAAATTTATAAGAATTTCTAGCATACTAACCTATATCCCGAGGTGAATCTGCATCTATAGTACCAATATATAGTCTGCCAGCCTGAAATCAGAGATGACGGTTCATCATTTCTTGTTCTTATTCCTACTAATGATTTCCAGGTTATGTATTCTCGAAACTATCTTACCACTAAAATATCCTAGAAACACTGTAATATGAGATAGTTTCCAGAATACCTGGCAAGAATATTCCAATTGTCTGGAAATTATCAATGAAATGATACCCATTTAATGAAAACAAAAATTTGGTTATGTCAAAATTTTGCTCTCCTACCAAACAGTGAATTTAGAATCTAAATTTTAGATATGCAGATGCTTCTTTCAACTAAAACATTTACTTCTGTTAATATATTTCACTACTGTTGAATATGCATTTAATATTTAAACTAGTAACTTTTCATCTGATAACATCTAAATTATGAATAACTTACATCTAATCTGTATATAACTACACCAGAACTCAGAATATCTTCATCTAAACCAACTAAATGTGGCACTAATATCTGAGAGTCTAAGAGAATACCATGAGAACTAGCACGGCGTAATTCATGATAATCAAAACCCCCTTCTTGAAACGGATTACTCCATTTATCTTTCCAATTCTGTGTTAACTTTTTAGCCTGAAAATCATGAAAATTAATAAATAAATCATAGACAACACACAAATACTGCATATTTCAATAATTCAGTACTTTGGGATTAAAAACATTTTAAGTAGTTTTGAGCATTGTATGTGTATCAGGGCAACTTATCTTGCATTTGCAATAGTGACATCATAATCTGTAAAGTTTTCTGCAAGTATAGAAACTACAGATGTGTATATTATACAGTGAAAACACATCAAAACATTCTGTGGATGAATTGACTCACCATGTTTTCTTTCTCTTGTAATCTCTCTACAACTGTACCTTGATCTCTCATAGTAACATGTAACCCAGCCTAAAATATATTTATTATATATTCTTGGTAAATTAAATCTATTTTTGATTTGATTTAGCATCCAATCATCTTTGAGACATATTTGAATAGAGCCATCAGATCATAGAAATTTGCTGTTATATCTATTGTAATCTTTGGAGATGGGCTTGGTAAGTGTAAATGGCTGCAAAGTAGATGACAAGTTAATGTCTGCTGACACCTAAGCTACTTTTTTTTAATATTCTGCATACCATTTGAAGGAAAACAATTTTCCACAAATGCTTTCATTGCTTCAAGAGAAGATTTATTTATTTCCAAATTTTCCATAAATCATATAATAAATCTATAACAAATGACTTATTCTATATAATGGAATTAGAATAACAAAAAAGGGTTAGTAGACTAAGGGTAGACTAGTACAATAAATTAGATCAGTACCTGTAGATCACTCTCAGAACTAGAATGACTCATATTATTACGTCCCTCTGGTATTAAATAAAATAAATCACCTATACTACCATGCTGAAATAATGTTGTTATACTAAAAACATGCTACTATAAGACTACTCTGAAAATGGTTATTAGTAATCATGCAGCACGTGAAAAGGTTCAAGTGACAGAATGTGAACATAATATCACTTCTACATGACAAAATTCCCTATGTTATATGTTATATGCTATAAAATCTACAGTCTTTGATTTTGTAAAATTGTTATCATTATAGAAGGTCTATTTCAGAAGTAAAAGCCAATCATCAATCAAGCATCAATATTATTTAAACAAGCAAATATATATTTCAAAATGTATTATGTAATTCTAACAAAAACAATCACTATGAATTCTAGTAAGATTATAAAACTTACCAACTGTGCATTAGCTAATTCTTGTCGTAATCTTTTGATTTCTTCTTGTAAAGTTCTTATCAAAGCCACATTTGTGTCCTGAAACATTGATTTATGAACATTGAAATATAAAGGGTTTAGCTTTCCTAATCATATCTTTTTTTTCATGTATGAAAATGTTGTTTCCTTGTAATTGTTACTTTTACTTACAGGGAATTTGGATAAATAAAGTAATATAATGCTCAGGTAGTCAACATCTAACCATCTCTGACATCAATTAAAGATGGTAGAACCATCATAGATAAATATTATAGAGATATAATGTGTCTGAGATAGTAATTAAACAAACACTCAATACATACCTCGTTAATAGTAGGTTTATTTACAATATTTTTAGCTCTTTGAGCATATCTCAATGTACTTAATGTTTCATTATAATATTGACTAGCAGGGGTTATAGCTGTAATAAAAAAAAAACAAATATTATTTTAAAAAAATGTGATGAAAAATTATGGACATGTGTTTCTGATAAAGATCACAGGTTATGAAACAATGGGTATGAAAATAGAAATGCATTTTTCACTATGTCAAAGTTTGGTTCAATTTTTAATACTACAAAACTTTAATACTACAGTAGTTTCCTCTATCTGAACAGGTATCTATGTAAATTGATAAATATTGACACTCATTTGACTGTGATATATTGATATACACAATAAAATATATTCCAGTGCATAATAATATCTTTCTGATAATAATTCCAAATTAAAGTGACACTTACTTGATATCATAATAGTTTTAGAATTTCCACCTAAACTATCACGTAGTAACCATGTCAGGACGGAATCACGATATGGTATAAATAATGTTTGTGGACGTCGTGGTGAACTGGGATCTCTAGGTGTACTAGGACTACCAATCTCACTATTAGAACTGGTAAAACTTTGAGTTGAACCCATCTGAGTCCAACATAACAAGGAACGTTCAGCTAGAAAATATAATAACACAACTAAAACTAAACTTCAAACTGATTACACTCTCAACAACCATTGTCAGAACATTTGATACTTTTCATTTACAAATGAATCTCACCTCTGCATAATGAGCTGTAAAAGTTATAGGTTGTTTTTTTTGGAATAATGATTTAGGAACACCTATCTCAAAACAACCAATTTTCTTGCAGGTGAGATATTTTTCACATTAACATTCCAAGTTAAGACCAAATTTCAGATTTTTTGAGCATGCAGTCTGGACTATTCCTTTGGAAATCTAAGACATTATTATTTGAATAATCTATCAATTGAGGGCATGTGGTATTCATAAAGCTAGATAAGATGCATACACCTTCTATTCTGATAAATATCTTACCCAATGATTTGATGACATTGCCAAGTGTTACTAGAGATTTATTTATATTGGCCCCCTCCTTTAATCTACTTTTATAATTTAATGTGGATGTGGTATCAGCTCTTTCACTGAAATAATACAGTTAATTGGCTATTATACACATCTCAAATCATGTCAATGAACAATTACACATGTCAATGATACACATGCCAATGGAAAGGAACAATAATTGAAGTTTGAGATCTGTTAGGTGGCCCTTAAGGACCTAGGTGCTGAGAGTTCAAATTCCCACAAACTAGCCGGGACAATGCTTTTTTGTGCATAAGAAATTACCGGTAAGTGACTAGCTCTTTTCTGAGCATTCCAGTCCAACTTATAGTTATTGTAATGAATATTTTGGCAACAATAGACCAGGAGTGAAGTTGTCATATTTTAAATATTTTCATTCTAATAATCTTTAAGAATATTTGTAAATACTGGTTGTAAAATGGTAATATATAGGAAACTACGGTGTACATATCGAACAATGAGTTACAGAACAATTACTAATTGTTACTTTTACTATAGGCCTATTGTTATTGTTAACACACTATGATATATAGTCAACCCTTCAAAACTAGAAACCAAAATGAAAGTAGACTCAATGTCAATGAATGTGTTGACAAATAAAAAAGATCAGAGGTCAAATACCATATGTTTAGTATTCTTTCTTCTCAGTATATATGTTTATACTAATAGTCAATAAGTCAAATAATAATAGTTGTGAATCATATTCTGATCCCTATACACACCCAAGAGACTAATAGATCTTGGTCAAGGGTTAAGAAAAATTTGTAAGTCATGATTGAAAATAATTCATGATCAGTTGGTATCAATAACATTCCCACTTTTTGAAAAATTTTATAATTTAAATATGACCTTTAATCATCAAATATGTAACAGAGAATGAAATTTGTTACCTGCCAGCTAAATCTACCAGATGAACTTTACTGATAATTTCACGAGGTAGATCATCTTCAAGTAAAGCCTGTGTGTAAATATATCAATGATACAATATATAAAACAACAGATTTTGTAAAGTTTGGAGCAAGATTATCACCTAAGATCAAATTGAGTCTTGGACAAATCATTTCAATAAAAAACATTTATATAATTTTGGAATTTCACCATTTGTTATTTGTATCAATTAATAATGTATATTTATATCATAAATTGAATCTAATGAGCCAATAAATTAGCAAAAAATGAAGACCAACCTGAGTAAAAAGTAAGGTAACTATAGCATGACTACGACTACTGTGTTCATGCATATGAGTTGTTGCTGTGGTTCTGAAAAAAAAAGGAATTTCAAATTTTATCAAAATTTCAAACTCACTCTTCTGGCACCCCCTTACGTTTGAAAACTTGACATCCTTTAAATGGGGTACCTTACATTTTTAACTTAAATTTTGAAAAAATATGAAGACACTTACCTATTTTCATTGCCAGTATCCAATAAATTAAATATTTCACTATAATTCTTAACAGTATGTGATGATAAATCTAAAATCAAACAAAATACAAAGGGTATTACATTGATATCAATTTATCAATAAAATATATTGCATTGGTATTTTGAAAACTTGCAGAGTAGCTAATTATATGTAAATAACTATTGTGACCTTGAAAGATATCTTCTAAATCTAAAAAAACAAAATACTGATAAAAGTACAAAATTGGAATCTATGCATTACTTATAGATTTATTTGAAATATATATGAAACAACTGGATCTTAACCATTATATTTATTCTCTTACCTTGTACATAAGGGCCATCTTTTGGATGTTCCCTAACTTTTAATGTATATTTTTCATTGGTAAAACCAGGTTTTAATAAATCTCTTACTCTTTCATTGTAAATTTCTAAATAACTACAATATAAGTAAATAGAAACAGATTAAAATTGGAATAACTAAAAGTAGTGTGCTAAAAAAAACCAGAAAATTTCCATGAACTGTAGCATTAAACTATCTTTTCCATTTCCAATTTTCAAGGACTTTTAACAGTAGTAGTATCTAATTCTTGTTTCCCAGAGTAATCCCATCCATTTGCATCATTGACAGGGTTTTATTTCTCAATTGGAAACAATGGAGGAAGATGGAATGTTTCAAACACAGGGTTTGTTAAATAGTGTATCCATTAAATGATACTTTATAGAATTTTTGTGAAACAACCTAAAGTTGTTGATTTAAATATAGGCAACAAATGAAACTGATATTTAAAATCACTAGCCAATACATACAGTGATTGAATTAGGGGAATGATATGTAATGTAGTAAAGATTTCAGATAAAAGAATGATACATGGTTTTTTTTTTCATCTGTCACCATACAGATTTCAAAAAATATATCAACAAGCTCAACATTTTTATTCTATTTCTTAAGAAAATTCCCCTAATTCCAGACATTTAACTGATTATTAATAGTGTTCTTTATTACATAATCAATGAGTCTATACCAGTTTTATAGATTTCTTATATTTACTACAACCTGATTATAGCAGGAATTTTCTCAACATATTCCATAAATAAGCACAATTCAATAGGAATGTTCAAGTTGTATTTTTTTCTCATGTATCTTAGAATCAATTGTTTAAAGGTGTGGTAAATCTTACTATTTTCTTTACCTGCAGGTTTAAAACTTATTTACTAAACATTTAAATTTAGACAAATTAACAGGCCATTCAACTGTGATCAATTTGATGGTCAACAACCAGATCTAGTCTTTGTTAGAAAGTAGAAGATGAAATGCATCCAGCAATTGATCAGTTTCTACAAGATTCAACCAGTTACTAGAAGTCATTGAAATTCCCAGATTCTGTTTGTTATAAGGTTGACCTGAATCCATTTCTTGGCATAAACACTGATCTAACAATTTACAATGTATATTATCTTACCTTATTTCTATTTTAAATGTGGTTTGTTCATCTTCACATGCTTCAACATGGCTAAATAGACCCTAAAATATAAACCAGTTTGTTATCAATATTTTGGGTCTGTCTAATAAGATTTCGCAAACAGCAAATTCTTACATTTTCCTAGACCCAATAATTTTCATTTTATTACCAATATCCCCCTTTTAGAATTTGATATTAGCTTAGCATAAACATGAAAATCAATGGTATAACCTATAAATGTATGTTAAAGATGTTGAAATTCATCTTTAAATTATTTCCATGACATAATTTACTGATTATAGCCAGTAATTAAGGAACAATAGCATGCAATTAATTTTATTAATAAACTGAATGAGATTTCTTGTGTAAAATTGATCTGAAACATCTAAGAAATGTTATATGTAATAAGAGTTCATTCCTAATATAATGGAGAAATCATGTCCAAAAATTCTAAACATAAAAAGAATTATTGAGTGAAAAGAATTTTTGTAATTGATCTTGACAGAAATCTTAACACAATCAGGAACTTTGAAACTAAAATACTCCATGATTTGACCTATCAATAAATCTATTTGATTGAACTTTGATTGAACTTAATCAATCATGATTAAATAATAATCAAATTAGTACTTTTTATTTTCAAATTATTCATTATTTTTCTGAATAATGCTCTTAAAAAATCAATGAGATAATCTGGCATAAATATATCATTGTAAATATAATATAAATCTAATTTGAAATAAAAATTTACCAATATATCTACTCCAATTCTAATTATAATTAAAATGATTCAAACATGCAGGAAGTTACATTAGGTACAGACAAATTTAATAAAAACCAATTTGAAGACCAAATTCATTGTACTAAAAAATACCAATATACTGCAGATGCCATATTTTGTTAAAATTCAGGTGTTTTGCAGATTTTGAGATCACTGCCAAGATTCTATTAAACATATTTCTAAGCCTTGCATAGTACGGAATAGAACTAATATATTACAAATAGTTAAAGGGCCATGTTTGTCATTTTCGGGGATTGATTTGGTTTTTGACAGTGAGCTGTGAACACTGATTAGCTCATCCAAAAAATTCCTGTTACTGAGACTAATGTACGATTGGTCGAACCGATAGCAAACCTGTCCCTTTAAACAAATCAATTCAATATATTGTTATATCATGACATATTGACATATATAAGACCTATTAAATATAAACTTATTGACTATTGAAATAATCATAGTAAGAACTATCAAATGATAAGTGAAATAAAAACTTAAATTGCCTCAAGATACTTATTGAGTTATTATTAAACCATCTATTAGAATTAACAATCCTCTGTTTAGTGTTAGTTATAGTTATAGTTATGGTAGCTGAAATTTTCAAACTATAATATCAAAATTATATTGATTTTTTCAAAAAAAATGAATTTTTCTCTCTTAAGTTGATGGACAATATTATGAACATGAAACATACCTCACATATTCTGGGAATCAAACCAACTTCATCCTAGAAGAAAAAAACAAAATTTTGTTCAAATTCTTAAGGTTAATTAAAATCTCAAAATAATTATATCAGAGATGCAACTCATATCTAACGTATGGCTGATTGTTCAAATGGGGCCATGGAAAATATCTTTTTCAAGGCAAAATGGTGTCAGTACCAACTGAGGATTTCTCTTATACATCTTTTATATGCATCATGAAATATAAGTATCAATTCAAAAATGTACTACCTCTGTGCCTGTCATAGTATAAGTTTTTCCAGTACTGGTTTGACCATAGGCAAATAAACAGGCATTATAACCTTCCACAGCTGACTGTATAACATCAGTTCCCAGATCTTGAAATATCTACAATCATAATAAAACACAAGTTAGTTTAATATTATTAAAGTGCCATGGGTTCAAATAATCCTCATGTAAGAAAAATTCTGATGCAACAACTCTGAAAAATAACCCAATGTCAGGTTTCAACCATTATCACAAATCAAATGAGAAATTGATCTTTGTTTCATAAAAAGATGGAAAAGGGAATTTGGGAAAACCATTATACTAATAGTAGGCATAAAGCAAGATGATTAATGAGATTTGTCAACTGTGCAAGACAAATCCTTTGTGATTTTTTGATGAATTTAATTACTTTCCATCAATATGCAACATTAGCAATGAGTTATTTAATTTTTTGAAGAATAATAATATAGGTGTGATATTACTATGTATGTCTGCAAATTTTTGTCCATTATGTAATTGAATTGCCTGGTGTCTTGCTACAGTTAAAAATATGAATCATATGCTTATCTTTGTCAAGGGTCATATTAATAACTTTTTGAGTACAAGATAGAATTTCAATCATATGATGTCATATAATTTCAAAATGCTATATATCTGAAGTGCCATATTGAACATGTTATATTGCATGTATCAACCAAAATCGACCTACTAATACACATGTTATAAATTATATTATATCAGATAGAGATTAGATTAAAACTTTAATCCAATATGACTTATATTACATTATTTATATGTAATTTACAACTATTTGTTACCTTCTTGAAGTTATTTTATATATGTTGTTGAACTAGACTTAATACATGTTCTCCATACTTATAATATTCATCTTAACCAATTTCATTACAACATTACCAATATAGACAAACTTGATATCAATACTAGTAAATATATCTCAAATACTTTAAAATATCAATTTGCTATTGTACAATGCTAACTAATTTATTTCTGATATTGTTCAAGGTAACAAATTGTATTGAAAACTGTCAAAATTTTACTTTAATACTTTATTACAATGAATTTATAACAATCTAATTTCAATAGAGCTCCAGCAAATTTTATTTTCAATATTATTGAATGCCTGAATATCCTATTTAAAGTTTATTTAAAACCTACAAATCTTATTCCATTAATGTCAGCTAAATTTCCATTAATTAGTCAAGTAGTTTTAAATGAAATGAATGGGTTTTACATTGTACTCTTCTGCACCCAATTAGGCAAATGAAGATGGGCAACTCTATATGCAGTGTGCAGCGGAATAAGCTTTCTTTTTTCAAATTCCAAATGTTTGAGGATTATTTACAGTAGCACACTGGGCCTCAGTTCATTGTCCCATCCAAACAACTAGATGCTATTTCCATATCAGCCCCTTTGACCTAATTTACTGATGGGGAAACCCGGTTGAAAAATCAGAAGGAGTTTTCTCAACCTCAGGTAAGAAACAAGTGTTTCACTCACCAAGCCACCATGGTTTTAATACTAGAACCTTATTTTAGTGTTTTATTTCAAAAATTTATTTAATTTCTCATGTGTATTCCTAACTATTATGCTGTGGGTTTATAATAGTAATAAGGTTTTGTTTAGTGTACACAAGGATCAATAACATCAAGTGGAATTTTGAGCAAGTGGTTCTTCAATGGACCATGGTACCAAGTTAATGAGATACTATTACTATTATCTGACTACAATAAGAAGATTTCTATGAATGAAATAAATGGCAATATAAACAACAAGTATACACGCTGGTACTAGTTATCACTAATAGTACCAATACCTATTTACTACTATCTTCAATGATAGTACATGATAAATTCATTATATAGTCTTTGTATATTTTCTTTGATTAGACTAGTAAAATAATCAGTGATCTGGTCATTTATTTGTTTAAATATCGGTAGTTTATTAGTATAGGTACTAATTATATATATTTGATCAACCTGATATTAATAATCAATTAAATAAATAATTTAACCTATAATAATGTGTGACTGTAAACGTTTATATTCTCTAGTGAATCAATATTATTTTATTATCTTTGTAACTCTTTCAATGTTAAATTCAGGATGATCAACATTTAATATAAAATAATTTACATCTATTTTATAATTGCTATGAATACACTGAATATTGAGATGACATCTTTCAAGTTCAAGAGTAAAAAAAAAAAGGAAAAGGAAAAAAACAAAACTATGGCACTACATTTTATAGTCTTACGAAGGGAATTTCCATGACCAGTGATAAGTAAAGTAAATCATAATCAAGAAAAATTTACTAGGCATCACTGGTAGATTCTAGAGGCGTTAATCATATCGACACAGATCAAAGTGTGCATTTATATAAGCGAATCACCTTCAACGATTTGCCTACAATACACATTTATTTTAGCGATTTGCCAAAGCGATTACCCAAATCGACCTAATCAAGATTCACATCACTTTAGTACGATTTGTTTGAGATCAAAGAAACATTAACAATAAAAGAAAGACAAACATATCATTTTCTAACAACAAAAAGAAAGATCAGATTATTTTTATTCCATTGGCAAATTTAACTGTTCAGTAATCTGTGTATTGGAATTATTGGGAAGTAAACATGCAACTCGATAATGCCAATGATTTATTTAAAGCTATTCAGTTTGTATCACAAGCTGATAATCCACCATCAAAGCGAATTGATACTTCAGGCAGTTATGTTTATCCAGGTATGTTAATGATCACCACAACTCAGATTAATAGATCTTTAAAAACCTTCTACTGTATTAAATGATACGTTATATATCTGGTTCAAAAAATTATATCCTGTGTCAAAATATGGAAGTTTGTGCTTTCTTTGGCCTTTAGTTCAATTTCATATGAAGTTGCGCATTATATTTTTGACTGGTTTAATTTTTCACAGACACTTTGTTACAGTTATTACAATTGTAGAATTACCAAAACAAAAACCTCAAATAATCTTATATAAGTAGAAAATGACATTTGATATCAAAATTACAATTTCTGAATGGTGTGTTTTTTAATCTTCAGACAACACTCACATGTTTCTTGAATATCAATGACTTTACCTTCAAAAATTGGCCATTACATACTTGAAATAATAAGTGCTTTTTAATTTACTTGTCTTGTTCATTTTTAAAGTGGGCTATTTAATGCAACTTGACAACTTTTTACAGTATTTTGATTTCCTAAACCCTCAGAATTTTTCTTACATTGAGGAGGATTCAAACCTATGTCAATTCTTGTAATATGGTGGGTGGACTGAATATTTATCAAAAATATTTTTCCAATACGTTGTTTGAATATGTATAAATGTCAACAGCATGGACATGTGCTTATCAATACTATTAAGTCTGCTTGAAAATATTCATATTGAGAATAGTTCTTAGAATAACCAAATAAATAGGCCTTTAGTAAATTGTTCATTGAAGATACAAAATGCCTGTCACTGAATTTTGTCAAAATTATCCAGCATGATGTTCTTTGAATATTGACAGTAAAAAAAGAAAAAAAATTTGAATTTTCCAAAATAACCAGTGCTGTTGATTTGGTTCTATTTGCCGGACATGACCAACAGAGCAGCTCACTGGTAACAATATCAAAATATTAAAGCAGCAATAACAATACACTCAAGTGAATTGATTTCTACGAAAAAATCCTGGTCAAGCCACTTTAATGAATGTAATCTATATTAGAAGACTGTGAGTAGAGATATCACCAATGTCTAATGTAATAAAATAAAAGGCCAGACTAAGATCAATAGATCTACCATAGGTTGATCAAAGTCAATCCAAACTTATTTATTTTAACATAGTCTATCAAATACACAAACCTTACAAAGTCATGTTAAAAATATGAAGTGGACACACCCTCTTGATTGGTCTTTAATACGCAGTGGGGAGAGAAAAAAAATGGTTGAGCAAAAGGCAATGAATTTGTCTTTGAAATTCAAAGTTTGAATGATCACAACACAAATATGAAAAGAATGCCATCAAGTAAATGGAATGCCTGAGCAGAATGTCCAGTGGTCAAACACAATCAACAAAAAAAGGCATCATCTGTAACAAGTAGGGAATTATTATGCAACTAAACGAGGAAACTTTCCATTCGACCCAGCTGTAAATGTTAACCGATAATTTGGGAAAAATCAATGCCAAGAGGTAAGGCCAAGGACCAGCTGGTAGAAAGGATCCTTTAGCCCAACAGGATTATGAGCATTATTACATATTTGAGTTGTTTTATGTAGCGTAAGTTTTACACCAATACTTTATATTTCTCATATTAAATCTAAGAACAAAATATCATTTAAATTAAAGACCAGAGATTAGGAATTTAAGTAAAGAAGAGGATTAAAGAAGATAACATAAATCAGATATTCAATAAAAGCTATCCAGGAGATCTAATATAACCTATTATAGTTATTAACCTTATAACTTAACCTTAATTTTTATTATTTATAAATAGAACAATAGTATGAACAATTCTTGTGCAGATAGAGAGTTTATTTTACTTATTATCATTGGTTCAGTGGGGACTTGTGGACTTTAGTGGGTTAGGGACCCTCCCCCAGGAATTTTTTTCTCCAACATATGCTCTCATGCATTTTGAGACCTTGGTAGGGCCCCAGCACAAGATGTGAAGATGTGATACTTAGTTTAGTTATTTTCTTTTTTAAATTCTGTATTTTTTTCTGGGGGCAAGGGCCTCTATAGTAGATGAGACACTGTTCTGGTTTATGTTTCACCACGTGATTAACCCCTCACTTTCCTTCCTCCTTTCTCTCTTTCCTGTTCTCCAAGAACTCAAATCAACTTGATAATACTAAACTCTGATCTTTATCAAGGATTGTTTAACAACAAAAACAAATTTAATGAATGCATCTCACTGCATACAAACAAAGCATTATTAATAATATGATACCGATCAATAACTAAAACATAACAAATGATGGTGCAATAAGTACTATCAAACAGAATTGTTGTATATTTATCAATTTTTTAGTCAAGATAACAAAAAAACTTATCTATTTATCAGTTTCAAGAGAGATGTAATAATAGATATAGTTCC